ATGGAGGTCCGCTCTCTCCGTTCCGGTGACAATAGCCCACCGTAATGGCGTAGCAACCCATTCTCCGACTACTTTATATCCACCTAAAGCTGCATCCTTCTGCGCTTGCTGTTTTCCAGCCAGACCAGCAACCCAGCCTTCAGTCAGACCAATTGCGATGTCGATTTCTTTCTCGCGCAGGGAGGTGATCATATGTCCCGTCCCGGATGGGAACGGAACTATAGAAATCTTAAACGGAAGGGATGCGACAGCGGGAGAGCGAAGGGCAAGGTGGAGAGGAGTGAGATAGTGTTCTATGATCCATAGCGTTAACGATGTTCTTCACAGGCTGTTGTTTGTATGAAGCTATAGGTCTTGTATTCGAGCTCATGGCGTGGGTATCGCGTGCGAAAGAACAGCGGAACTTACCTGGCACATATCCAATTCGGATGGTTTCCGTGTCTGAAGCCATAACGTGTTAATAATAGGAAATGAACTAGATTTCCCCAGCGATAAATTGGTTATAGGGCAATGGGGTTTCCTTAGCTGGGGTTTGTTGGAGGGGTAAAAAGCAGAGGGACTTCTGACAATACATAAATAAGTGGGGGAAGAACGCGGGGCATCACGTCAGCGACCTAATTTTATATCGCATCAATATAATTAGAATTCTGTATGTTATTGATTTCATGAGCTCAAATGGGCAGTTCTATATATACCATATATTACACTGCCTATCCCTACTTGTTATAGACCGAACAGTAACTAAGAAACAATGTTCACATTAATCTAGCAATTAGTCTAAGTAAGATTTCTAAAAAAGAACAAACCATGGGTTCCCAGTATCTACAATGCATCAAGCACCAGGGAACAGCAAACGGCCGTTACGCATTCATGTCATCCGGATGTCTTTCTCCTCAACAGTCCAGTTTCCACTGGGCTCCCTAGGGCTGCCAGCAGCCCCAAACGAGGCTTTGGAATACATCCAAAACTGTACCCCAAGGTACAGATCACAGACGCACTGGAACAATGCGCATAGGCGAAAAGCCCAGGGAATTACCTCCTGGCTGCAGAAGAAGTAACTCAGTTTCATCAGATCACCGAGAATCCATGCGGCTACAACCGACAAACGGAATCCTTTGCAGGAGCGTGACTGATGGTTAGCAAGAATTTGAGGCAGAGGCAAGGTAGCCTCCACAGTCAACCCGATATATCCAAGGCAGTTAATGTAGAACTCCGATTGAGCAATTGGAGGTAGGCAGATTTGGATAAACGAGAGCCCAGCAATAAAATAAGCCAAAAACATCCAATACCTAGTATCGCCGGCAAGGTAAGTTTCCCACACATATTGATAGTTCAAACGGCATCTGGAGTACATACGGCTTTGCGCTCTTCCACTGCCAGAAGTCATAGGGCCGAGTAAGTCCCCCACCATTACTGACACTGCTGAACGGAACGTGCTCGAGGCTGTTTTTAACACCGGGGGCCGGCCGATTATCCAGCGCAACCTTGAGCATAACCATTTGGACCCCAATCATGATGACGGCTTGCACCAGCAGCGTAAAAGAATAGTTGTCGCCAAACCAGAAGAATACTCTAAGCCCAAGGGTCAATTTCAAGCCGTTCAGCGCAGTGCAAGGCGGACAATATAGTCTTACTTCAAGATTGACGCGACCAGCATGATCAGAGGTATATCCAACGAGAAGCCAGCAGAACTCCTATTCCGATGAATACTGAGAATTTGATCCGCATAGGAGGTTACCGGGGAGGTGATAAGACTAGAGCATGAGAGCCCACGGTCAGCTTTCCAAGGTTGCTATCCCAAATTGCGGGATTTTCGGGGAGAAAAGATATAACCCACAAGAACGGCGCTCCATATTCGAGAGCGAGTGAGATAAGATACATTGTGCAGTAGTCAGTCGTCAATACGGGTTGTCAGAATCTCGAGTAGCGAAAAAGAAAAGATCCCAGTTGTCGGTGCGAGTATCCGGTCTTATCCTGTGAACGGACGAAGTTGGTGGATCTCCCCCGGAGGTGAAACTGCTGTGTCAGGGACGCGCTCGATTTAAATCAGAGCTAGTCAAAACTGCTCGGGCTGCGATGATGGATCTTGATCGCGTAAGAATAAATCTTCGTCAATCGAGCCAAGCAAAGACGGACTAAAGGCTAGAGATTGTTCGCTAACCCCGTAGCCAATCTCTCTAGTGGACCATTTTCGCGACCGGCCGCATGCGTTCTTTTTTTCTTGTCCCTGGGGCTGACTCAGCGGGTCCCACTTGAGACCTTAATTTTGCTTGATTTCCAAACAATGAATTATCATGAACTGCCACATCTATATAAAATCATAAATTGCTAGTGATAATGTATTTATCTCAACAATAAATAAACAAGCGAATCTGTACGTCTTCCCATTGCTGCCTTGTCGCAAGGTCAGAACTCGATCCTCCAGGTCTTTCCAATGCTAACAGAAGGGTTTTTCACCACGGCATATGGGGCCTTTCCGTCCGGCTGGGTATGGTACTCCAGGGCCGCGGTGGACGCCGTCTTGGCACCATCCTCGATAACAGTCACGGTGGACTTCTCCTGCCACTCTTTCGGTGGATCGATAACCACCACCCTTTCAACTCGCACGCTTGCCATGGCCTTGAGGTATTCGGCTGTCTTGGGCCCCTTGGTTCCAATGTCTTCCGACGACAGAGTGGAGGCATGGAATTGGAAACGACGATGGATATACGCTCCTCGCTCATAATCAAACGTCTCACCGTCATCCACATACAGCGTGCCATCTGCCTCTCCGTTCTTGTCTAAAACAACAACAAGAGTGTACGGATCCCATTTCATCAACCCACTACTGCGGCGTGGTCGGTCCTTTCGAGGAATCACATGGCCACCCTGCATTAAAACGGGTACTTTCTCAAGAGGTGCAGGCACCTCGTGTCTCTTACCGGCCCCTTGGTAGACCGTGTAATCGAAATAATCGTAGTACTTCTCATCATCAGCGAGATAAATGTCTACAGTAGTTGCTCCCTCGGAGACTACTGGCTTCGTAAGGATACCAGTAGAACCGAGGTAGAGTTGGTCATCGATGACAAAGCCTGCTTCGTCCGAAGGATGAACATAGAACTGGGGTCTCACGATCGGTGTTCCATTCACCGAAGCTTCGTGGAATGCAGTGTACCAGGCAGGTAAGAGCTGGTATCTCAAACGAATGGCCTGGGCGATGATAGACCTATGAGGCTCACTGATCAAATACGGTTCACGCCGACGAGTATCTATATGTGCGTGCGCACGGAAGAAAGGATACCAAATGCCAGTTTGATACCATCTTGTGAGGAGGTCCTTGCTCGGGTTGTGGAAGAAGCCACCAACATCGGCCCCTGCGAAGGGGAATCCAGAAATGCCATTGTTCAGAACCATGGGCAGAGAGATGGCCAGATGTTCCCAAGTTGCCTGATTGTCACCAGTCCACATGGCAGACATCCGTTGGGCTCCAGCATAATATGACCGTGTCAAAATGAACGGCCGACGAAGCTCGCCTTTCTTCCGTTCCAACATCGCATTATACGTCGCATTCACAAACGTGATACCGTTGACATTGTGGATGTCACGGTGCTCCCAGTTGCCATAATGAAGGTTGTCTTTAGGCATAGTGGTTTCCGGGCCGTTGAACACGGATGGCTCGTTCATATCGTTCCAAATGAAGACATTCGGAAGTGTGCCCTTGAACTTATCATACTTAAATAGGCCTATCCACCACTTGATAGCCTCCGGGTTGAAACAGTCCACCCAATGGGATGACCCTGGCCAACACCAGCCCTCGTAAATTTCACCATCCTTGTTCCGAGTGGCTAGGTTCTTGCTCTTAAGCTCCTCTGAGATGGTGTATTGCTCCTTATTCTTGATATGAGGGTCGATGATGACCACAAGCTTGCGCTCCGATGCATCAAGTTGCTCCTCCATACCAATCGGGTTGGGAAAGGTCAGGGGATCCCAGGTGAAATACTTTCTGTCATCGAGATACTCGATATCGAGCCAGATAACATCGTATGGGATCTGATATTTGTCAAAGTTGCGATCGACATCTTTTACATCTTCATCGGTGACATAATTCCAGCGACACTGATGGTACGCGATGGCAAAGTGCTGAGGCAGCTGAGTATAACCAGTGAGTTCGCCATACTTCTTGCTGATATCCTGTGGTGTAGGCCCTAGGAAGACAAACACGTCGATTTGTCCAGACTCGGAGAACCAATGACTTTGAGTATCGGTTTTTGAGCTCACCCCTAGAGAAAGTGGGTTGGCAGAGGATGTCGACTTCACAATGTCTACCCATGTCTCGGCAGCATTAAGCCAAAACACACCGACAGTAGAGCCCGGTCTGTGCGCTTGCATGAGTGGAATTGCACCGTATAGAGTCATTGGACTATTGAGTTCGTATTCAAACACGTCAGAATTGTACATGCGGTAAGGCTCTTCATGGTTTCCGGAACCGCCCCTATCAAATCATCAGTTTACGTCACAGAACGAGGTAGAAGGCTTGGTAGATTTTACCTGGTTTCCCTTAAAGATAGGGAATCAGCATGCTCTGGGATACCATAAACATGGCCGTAGCCGGGAAATGTGATATCCAATCCCACGCTCTCAGGACCTTTGGGTTTTGTATCTGTGTTTCCACCAAATGTCTCTTCCCACCAGGTGCTCTCATCTTCCTGGGATGCGTTCTGCTCACCGTCACCCTCGGAAGTATCCACCTTCCGTCGCCAATGCTCCATGTTCAGGTACCCTTTGTTATTCAGATGAACATGAGTCTGACCATCCCTTTGAAACTCTACGTCAAACGGAGAGTGACGAATGATTGCTTGGAAGTTATTCTCTGGTCCGTATAGAACCCTGGTTATTCCTGTCTCCGATTCGGAATCCAGGGTCGCAGACTTGCTCAGTTCCAGGCCACCAACCAGGACCCATTTTTCCGCTTCATTATATCTTTCCTTGCGAGCCTGGCTGTCATGGCGAAGCTCAATTTCCTTGTTCAAGCGTTTTTCTTCGTCAATGACGACTCGGGCAACTCCAGACTCGAGGAACGACACAATGAGAGGTAACTTGACCTTCTCATCGGCGGACACCGATTTAAGAATTGTTCCGTGCAACTGACCGTCCTGGAACTGGATAGATGAAGAGTCAAGTTCATATGGAGAGCTCCAAGCTGAGCCCTTGGCGGCGACGTCGTCGGCGTATGCCCTGTTTCGTTTACAGAAACCGGATTGTGAGCATTTTTTGAAATTCTCGTGCTTTACAGCGACTAAATTTAGTCGTTAGCATTATAACAACTTGTGGACCATGTGTGTAAACAAAACTTACCTCCGGGTATGACAAGACATCCGAGTAGGATGACCAAGGAAAGCAGTAAGGTCCAGCGAGTGGACAACAACCGCCTCCCGGCCATCTTTAAGCTAACAAATGCAATCAGAGACACTCAACCTCCGAGAGTGCAATACTTGTCAGCCGCTATGTGCTGACCTGCATCTACCCGAGCTGGAGGTCCGACACACGAAGCTGTCACGTTCGTTAGATCGTTGATAATAGTACAATGACCGTTAGTTCCAGGCTGGCCAGATGGTCGGCGAAGATGGGGAAGCTCCAGATTTGGTTAGGGCCGGCACTATCCCTGTTCAGGCAGCTGGGGTCAGACACCTCAGGCTGCGAGGCAATCAGGCATAGCTCTGGCCGGTAACAGCCAACGACAGCCCCTCGTGCCCCACTGTTGCGGTCCCTCCGGTGTTATATTTTCGGCCAACTCACACCAGCACCTCTGCTTCCCTTTTCCTCTCACTCTCAATCCTGTCTCTTTGATTCAATTGTCACTTTGACATCATAAATCCTTCAAAATGTCCGACGAGCAGACGTAAGTCACCCCAAATTTTTCACCTAACCCCTTTCATCCCCCTTCCTTCACGCTGGAATATTTTTTTTCTTCTTTTTGCCATCGACCGGTTGCCCCTCATTGTCTACTCAAGCTAACCAATTGATGTAGCTTCATTGCCATCAAGCCCGACGGTGTCCAGGTATGGATCTCGAATCACCCGATTTTGCCATGATCCATACGGATATGGCGCTTTCGGGGTGAAATCAATACTAACCATGTCAATCAGCGCGGACTCGTTGGCCCCATCATCTCTCGCTTTGAGAACCGTGGGTTCGTATTTTTCCAATCCGAACAATGTGCCTACAAGCTCTGTACTAATGAATCATAGCTTCAAGCTTGCTGCCCTGAAGCTCTGCTCCCCCTCCAAGGAGCACCTCGAGCAGCACTATGCTGACCTCAGCTCCAAGCCTTTCTTCCCCGGCCTCGTCTCCTGTAAGCTCCTTGCCATGAATGAGGCCATAACTTTGTGCGGAGATGCTGACATTTACTTCTAGACATGCTGAGCGGCCCCATCGTCGCCATGGTCTGGGAGGGCCGTGAGGTCGTTAAGACCGGCCGCAGTAAGTTCTCGTCCGCTATGACCCTGAAGACCAAACGCTAAGATAATCGTTAGCCATCCTCGGTGCCACCAACCCTCTTGCCTCCGCCCCTGGCACCATCCGTGGTGACTTCGCCATTGTAAGACATTTCCC